GAGGAGTGGAATTGCTGAGTTATATGGTAACTCTGCTTAACTTTTGGAGAAATCTTTCCCACCAGCCTTCAACAGACCAGAGGAATGAGCCCACCTGACACTGAACCCACACCCAGGTCTCTGTGGGCTGCTGGACTCTAACTATAGAAGACACATTAAGCAATTAACAACAACAAAAGAATTAATAACTTTTATAAGACATCTAGAAAGTGCCAATCAGGTACTGATTTTTTCTCATATCTCTATTTTAAATTCTTACAATAACCATGCAAAGCAAGCGTTTTTAATTTTATATCCTTTCCTCATTATTTTTAGCAGGCAAAGCAGAGTTTGAGAGTTTAGGAAACTCTCCAAGGTCACCAGCCAATAATACCTGTTTGGCTTCGACCCCTTGCTCATTCTACTACGTCACAGCTCCTCGCAGTTAATCAGAATGCACACGAAGCAAACCATCCCAAGCAGGGAAATCACCCAGCTAGCTCCATCAGAACTCCATACTGGCCTCCTAGGTGAGCTTCCACACTTCAAGGCAAAGCATGGGTCAGTTCCCAGAAGGCTCTGCTTCCTGGTCCTGGGTTATCCCTGTCTGGTAGTGAGAAATCAAGGAAGGAAGGGAGGGTGGGAGGGGAGGGGAGGAAGGAAGGAGGGAGGGAGAGGAAGGAAGAGAGAAAGAAAGAAGAAAGGCAGAACATAGGGAGGCCATCTGGTCAACAGCGAGCCTGTAACCTCCAGGCAGTCGTGCACTCTGGGCTGGCTGGCCTTTTGCATGAGGCTGTTCCTCCTGAGGTTACATCCTTTCTCACTGTGGCCTCAAGGAACCCAAGAAACACACTCATTGCCTCTTTGGTTATTTTATAAACAGTGCTTGGAAACCACGAGTCATTATCACTCTCCTGGCTGGCCAGTCAGACTTTCCATGCCTTGTGTGTGATACCCTCAATCTTCCCAAATCCAGCAGCATCATTCCCCTAAACCAAGAGGGCTGTTTACTTTGGCCACCATAAGGGTAGAGTTAAGTATCCGCCTGTCCTCTCTCAGTGCCCCACAGGCTTCAGGGCTGCAACCCAAACATTCACCTCATCATCCATTCCTTTATTCACATATTCATACACTTAGCCCTAGATCCTCCCAAATTGTATCCAGGCATGGATGTAGGTATGGGTCCATACATCCATATATTCACCCATCTGTTCATCTAGTAATCCTTCATTCACTCATTCATTTACTGATGCAGGCATCCACCTATGTACTCCCTTTTAATCATTCATCTACTTGTCAGTTCCTCAGTTTATCTACTCACTGGCCCCGATCCAGGAAATGATACCAATCCAGTAAATGATCCATGTATCCAAGCACAGGTGTGTCCATCCCTTCAGCGCTCACTCAGAAACCCACCATTTCTTCACTCAGTCATCCAATCACTTACTTATTCAACCACCTAACCACCTATTCACTAAATATATGGTCATCTGTTATGAGCCAGGCACTGCTGATGCTGGAAGAACATCAATACGGTTGGTAGAACAATACAGTTCCCATTCCCCTATCCACCCACCAATCCTCCATTGATTGGCATTTATTCATTTATCCAACCTATAGAATTCCACCCCTTGGGCCGTGAATTGGTTACTGGATGGATCCCAGGGAGGTTTGAAAAGAGAAATAGAGATGAACCCTGATTCAATTCCACCCACAGAGTGCAACCAAAATGATAGTTGGGAAGGACTTGGCTAGGAGACAGAAACTAGGCAAGAGACAAGAGTCCAGAACCAGAGATTCGTTCTGGTACTAAAGTTAGTCATGCAGATAATGATAAACAGTTCTGAGCCTTCTTGTGGGTCAGAAGGAAGCTTTAAAAAGTGCTCAGACAATTAAGACACTTTCGTTTACTCATCCATCAGTTCATCCATCTGTCCACCTATCCACAAATCCATGTATTTACCCATCCATCCATCTATATTCTTATTGTTCAACAATTACAGTAGGAGTCCTTAACCAGGATTTCATGAATAGGCACAATCATATAAATGCAATTCATCCTTGCATTCCTAGGGTCTTCCATTGCTACCGACACATAGCAAGTGCAAATTAAATATTTGCTAAATAAATGAATGCATGCTCTCAGTTATGACTAGATAAATCCAAACAAGAAAGGCGGCACCTTGATCAGATAATTTGGCCCTGGAGCTGCTATGAATAAGTTTGCTTTTCCTACGATTGCTTAATGGTAGTGTGCAGGATTCATCCCATCTACATGTGAGAAATGAATATGCCCAGACGAGGCCATGACTAGTTTAGGCAGGTTTACAAGACTTGGCTTTAGCTGTTTGACACAATGAATCCATCTCCCTCATATTCGAACACACCACCAGGACGGGCTCAGGCCAGATCCACATACTGGCTGCTAATCAGACAGATAACAGAATTCAGTGGATCCAATGACTTTTGTTTAACATCACATCATGAGGTTTCCACAGAAACCCTTAACCAAACTAATTCCGTTTGAGGTAACTCCATTTGTATAGACAGAACTCTGACTTATTCAGATGAGGAGGATCACTCTGTGAGTTTGACTATGTTGTCAAGCCACCTGGACAACACAGATTGAAGCCTTGTCTTTGATTTGTAAAAAATAAAATAAGTAAGTACCACCAGTAGCTGAGAGGACATGGGGATACAGCTAGGGAGATGCAGATTTTCATCAGGCATCACTTACCAGATCTGTGGTCCTGGGCAAGGTACACGGAATGTCTCGAATCCTCCATTTTCCCACCTGTAAAATGCACAAAACATCCTTTACTTCACACAGCTGGATTCTAGTCCATAACCTACAGGCAGAGTCTAGCTCAATGCCAGATACAAAGTTAGCCCCCAGTAAGCAGTAGCTCCTAATTTCCTGATTCTCTGAATAGCTGCTCTATCTGCCTAGATCCCTTTCTTTGGTTTTTGGTTTTTTTGTGTGTTTGTTTTAATGACTGTTTGGAACTCTGAGCTCTGCAAAGGGCCTCGACATTCATCGCCTCGTTTATACATCACCATCATTGTCATTATCATCAAAATTATAACTATTCCCATTCTACACACGAGAACACTGAGGCCCGAGTTGAATAAGGAACTTACCCACTTCCTATCAGAGTCAGACCTGAACCCATTGTCTTCAGGCTCTGAGCCCAGTTCTCTTTGTATTAACAGGATGAATAGGAGGGAAGAGGCAAAGGGTCACCAAAGCCTCTGAGACCCTCCAGAGTGGACTTGCTTAAGTAACAAGCATGTGGCTCATGGACAAGCCCTAAACAGATGTTGTGCCGTCGTGGCTCTGGCCTTCTCCCGTGTGCAAGCAGCCCCATTCAGCCCTCCTGTCACCTCCTGATTGGCCTCTAGCATATAAGGTGATACTATAGCCTGAAAAGCTGTCCTTTTTGGCTGGATTCCCACAAGGAGTCAGTGTTTTATTTCACTATTTTCCTGGGTGTGCTTTTATTTTCTTATTTATTTATGTGAACCACTAAATTATCTAATTAGTGACATAGCTCGTTGACACATGGGCCACTATGAATATTTACTGCACACTTGTTCACGCATTTATCTAAATAGGTGGCATGCCAGAGCCATGTAATAAGGAATAATGATTCCTTAGAAGAGTTACAGGAAATTATAGAAGGAGGGGAAAAGTTTTGCACAGTGGGTTGCAGCTTCCAACCACATCTATCAATTCTTCCTGAGGTAGAGCAATGGCATAGTAATGACAAAAAATTTATAGTAATGAATAAATCAATACTCTGCTCAGCAGCAGTTTCAGATGCTCCTTTTATAGGTCTTCCCGGGTCTATTCTCTGTCCCTTAGTGCGGGAGCTGAGAGAGTGCCGTGAATGCCAACAGCTACAAGGAGAAAGGGACCGGCCCAGACTCCTGAGATTACCGTGATCCATCACCATCCCCTCACACGGAGACCCATTTATATCTCTGAGCTCCCCTAAAAATCGGAGCAGCTCGCAGTGATGACTACACAGCCGCCAAGTGCCGGTTCTGAGAATGGAACTGTCGCTTTGTGTGGAGCAAAACGGAAATGTAAGAAGAATAAACAAGCTAACAAATAATTAATTAAATGGGGATGAGCGGGATGGAGCCGGAGGAAGGAAGTGCCAGCAGAAAAGGAGGAGAGAGAAGTGTAGAAAGAGAGTTTGGGCCGAAAAGGGGCTTAATTCATTTGGCAAATATTTACTGAGTGCCTACTATGGACCAAGCATAGTTCTAGGCAGGGTAGCAAAGTTTTTCCTGAAATGGACCGATAGGAAATATTTCAGGCTTTGTGGGACAAATGGGCTCCATGGCCACTAAGCAACTCTGTAGCACAAAGGCAGCCGGACACAACACATAAATGAATGAGCATGGCCATGTTCTAATAAAACTTTATGTACAACCCAGGTGACGGGCCAGGGCACAGCTGGCCCACCCAGGGTATAGCATCACATTTCTCAAGATGGGCTGTGTGCCAGTGGACTGTGGGACGATTTGGTCGGTACACAGACATGGGGTAAATAACTTAAGAGTCACACAAGGAGATTTAATTCCAATTTAAGTCTCATAATCCTCTGATTACACCAAGGAGAGCGTCTCTGTAGGATGCTAGCCTTTACCATCTCTCTAACATTTTGCTAATCTCTTTTCCAACAAAAAGAGAGACTCCCAAGGCTCTCAGACTTGGCAAGCAACAGTTTCCAGAGAGATTCTTCAGCACTGTTTGTTTTCCATAGACTTTCTACTCGCTGCAAACAATATTTGTTTCTGCTTACCATTTAGAAAGGCAGAAACCGGGTTTGTTCACCTGCACACTGTTGATGTTTGGGCTGGATAATTTCTGTTGGGGGTGGGGAAGCTGTCTGTGCACTGTAGGATGTTTAGCTGCATCCTTGCTCTGTACCGACCCAATGCCAGTAGCACAAATCATGCCTCTGCCACTTAATCTTTAGTGACATTGACCAACTCTCTATGACCCTGCTTCATTTTCCTTATCTGTAAAAT